CCGCGACCTGCGATCTGGTGTGGGAGCGGCCGATCATTGATGCGTACGAGGCGAGCATTGAGACGCCGCCAGCGCTCTGGGAGGAATTTGCGGGAATGTGTGGGATGAGGCGGCGGAAGAATAGAAAGGCGAGCGTGGCGGATTCAAGGAGAGGGAGTGTGTTGACAGCGGCGTTCAGGGGTTAGACGAAAAACGAGCTCGAATAGAGTGAACATGGCTATGATGAGGTTTTCAATGGTACATGGTCTTGTTCTCAAGGAGTGATATATTGTCAGATGGGAGGCGACGTGATGGTGGTGTCCGAGTAAGCTTTGACGCTTGGCACGGTAGGACATGGTAAGGGAAAACGCTATACACGATACCCATATACCAAAAGGACCCTCTATGATGACGAGAATGATTACGAAATCTTGTGCGTGGGACAGTTTGCCTCGCCGCTACATGAAAATTTGATACGTCCGATAAGATCCCAACCTGACTCCCTTCTTACTCACTCAGAACCCTCAAACACTTGCTCCCTATGCTTGAGAAGGTGGGCCAATTGAAAAGATTCTCTGCAAAGTTCACCGAGAAGACGAACACGTACGTCAGATAATCAGGGAGGTAATGTAGCGCCAGGGACCTGCCGCGCGACTAACCGGACAAGAACGTGCACTCAAAAGCGTCTTTTCTCTGCTTTCAACTTGCCGCACTGGGAGCATGACGATGACATATAAGCGAGGGTTGTGAGACTGAAGGTCGTTGCCTTCTCCGCCCAGCAATAGGGCTTTTCCGTGAAGCTGCGGTCACCGCTTCTGCCTCACATATCTCCGCGGCCGCTGAAAGAACGAGGTAGTGGTCTGCTTGGCAACCTAGCGTCAGGCAGAGGAGGAATCAAACCTATTGCGTTCTCTTTTGGCTCTCATCAGAACAAGCGATTGCTCGATGAGGTTTGTAGCCAGCGTCAAGGACGGGCAAGAGATGCCCCCTGACCTGCCAACATCTTGATAGCCCAGCCATGGGTCTTCACCACACGCTTGGAGGTTAGAGACGGCGACTCCGGCAAGTTGGCGACAGCGGCGGTGTCATTGTGTTGTACCGCTGTATCGGCTTCGGGCGATGCTTCTACATCGTCCGGTATCTTGATGGTGACGACATCCGCTTGCTGCTGTGTAGCTTCCATTTGCGCGACGCGAGCAGTGATATACTCACGACGGGTTACGCAGTATCGTGTGACTTCATCCACAAGCCACTGCTCGGCATCCACGTCGGCCGGCTTCTTAGTGTCGTCTTCCTGCTCCATCTGGGCGACGAAGTGCTTGGCAAGCTCATTAACGACGGTTGTATTCGCCACTGCGAATCTAGCCTAGGCTTCATCCGTGAAATATGCAACGATGTCAAGATGTTCCAGGGTAATGTCGTCCATGTCTCGGCATCCTTCTAGTATGTCAACATCCTCCGGAAGAGCGAATTTAGCACTTGCTGTCAGCCAGAATCGATGTTGAATCTCCGTCAGATGCCATGATGAAGAACGCAAAATAAGGCAGGAACTTACTTTGCGTCCACGCGCTTCTTGAACCAGGCGAAATTAGTAGCAGATTCGCCGGCTCTGACATAGGCGAGCTTAATATACCCGCGGAACCACAGTTCGACTGCGAGACCCATGCGCTTACGAGCATGTTTGGAAGGGCGACCAAGCGGTGGCTGTGACATCATAAGTGATAAGATGGAGGAGTTAGCGTATGCAATGGAGTAAAGTCGGGAAAAGGGGGGAAACAGCTTGTTGTGGTTTCGAATCTGCTCGTCTCGTCTCTGCCGTTGACGCCGTCAAGCCGTTCTGTATATGTGCTGTGTTCGTTCGTAATCGTATCCGTGACCGTGACCACGACCGTGACCGTAAGCCGTAATCCGTAATCTGAAACCGACCGTGAGAACCATGACCGAATTAACCGTGACCGAATCGTGAACCGCGAACCGTGACCGATGACACCATGTATCAGGCCGTTTTACGTGAGTTTTCCGTCTTTTTCCGTATCGTGAAGGAGGAGAAGAACAAGAAGACGAAGGACTACTGTCGTCTTAAGGTGTTCACATTGGATGCTGCATAGCAGAGCTTGCCTGAGTCTCGTTTGATGCAGAATGACAAGCACAGCACCGGTGTCCAGAGCAATCGCGCGGTAATCGGGGCACGTAGATCTGACGTTCGTGGTGGCAACTGTGAGATGCACCAGAAGCATGCCGCTGAGGATTATGCTATTCAGGTATGCCTTGTGCTCCTGCGACACATCAAGGCCGTGATTCGTGAGATAGATATTGAGACGGTCCACGAGGCCGTCAGTATATCGCGGATGAGCCTTGGAAAGCGTCACCGGGTCTTCCTCTTCAGCTGGGTCAGAACTGTTAGGGCTGGATCCAGTCCCCTTCTGGTCGTAATGGTGGGAGCCCTCGGTGATGATGGCCAGAGACACCTTCCTGGCGCCTTCAGAAGTTTTCCGAGCCTCAGAACTAGAGTACAGATCTTCGCGAAGATTTACGGACGCTTGGCCATACTCTTGTTTCGGTCCTGAGGCGATACGCAGGGAAGGACTGGACGTAAGAGCATGGTCGACACCCAGATCAATAGACACTCCTTCCGTGGCAACAGCTGAGCAGTCATAGTTCACCTTCTGTGCTTCGGAGTCGAGACTGGTCACGCCCCTGGATGGCTCTGTCATCACTGTCGGAAAACCCTTGAGAGGTTCTCGGTTACATTGGTCTCTTGGAACTTCACGACATCTCGGTGGTCTCAATAATACCAGGAACGTTACTGACCACATCCAATGCACCGTCCATAGCGTCTCCTGCAATGCGAAAAGATGAGATAGAAGTGTCTAAGGGATTACGCTGGCAATCCTTGTTGTTGGTCTCTCCAGAATTTTCAAAGACAGTATTCGGGCATTTTGAAGGGATCGATGGTCGTTGAGCGAGCGCAGGATATCCAGAGATCGGATATAGGCTCTCAAGAAGACCACGATGTACTGTCTATGTGCCCCTCCGGGCGGTTGGAAAACGGCACCTGGCAATAGATGCTTGCTCGGAAACATCGCATTCTTTTAGCTAGCCATCGTTCGTACGTACGTCCGAAGTAGCTTGTGGTATGAGCTCCACCTTCATGAAGTTTCTGGACGAAGCATGTTCCTTCTGAACATATTCCTCCAGTGAGAATGCGGGCTTCCTGGAAATGCTCTTGGTCGTGAAATACCAGAAAGGCAGATCTTTCCACTCATTCGACACTATGGCAACGAGAGTGGGCCGTAAGGCACGTGGGGAGCGTGAGAACATAGGGCGAATCGGTTGCTTATCTGGGATGAGTTTCTCCGCAAACCAGATACTCTTGAGGTTGGATGAAGCCTTGCAGGAACGATACTGACACTTCATCTGTTCACTTATCTAACTGTAGATTCATAGCGTGAGAGTCGCCCCTGTGGCCAGTGCCTTCCCCTTCCGTACCGGAGATTGCCGCAACCTCCACAACGACACCGTCTTTCGAGAACCACTGCTTGCCGTTTCGTCGAGACAGAATGTCTTTAGTCCATGAACGTGTGTGCTGACGTTGTACGCAGGTTTACCGATATCTCGCGGGCTACAGGCGTTTTCCATTTGCACCTATCGGAGGCCATGCGATCAACGTTCTATGCTACTCGTCGTCAAACCGGTTCAAAAGATTCGAGTTCGGAGAGCCATAGCTGCCACCTAGGTTCACACGAGGGACTTCTTTTTCTGTCCGAGCGTGCAACAAGTCCGTCTTTAAGACACTCTGTTCGAGGTTTCCAACTAAGCACTTGGATGACAGTTTGAAGTCCGCGAAGGTTATTATCCCCGTCTCCTGGATGGGGCGCTCATTTCACAAGGTTCGACGTCGTTCGTAATTCCTGGGAATTGATGAAGTCAATCTCCTACCAAACCGTTCCATCGCTCGATCTAGCTGACCTTACTGGAGCAACGAACGTGTGTTCGTAGAGTTCTGATCAGCTTCAGCGATCTGCCATATACCGACCGTTTAGTGCGGCTTCCTTGTACTTTCCTCAGTACGCAGGATTTCGTAGTTCTTGACCGAGCGTACGGTAACTGCGATCTGGCTCCGAGGCTCCGCTATAGCACTTGGACAATATTTTGAAGCGAACTTGAGTTGTTATCCACTCTCATAGGACAGCGCGCTCGTTCAAAAGATACGACGTCCCTCGTACGGTGCGTTTTCTGCATGGCGTGTTCCTTGCCTTAGGATCCGTGTCGCGGGAGCGACATATTAGGCCTTTCGAGTAGAAGGCCACGGATGCTAGACAAACGGTGTCGCTATCCACCGGAGGTCAAAACACAAATCAGACCCTCTCGGAGGCCTTTTGCTATTCTCATATCCGATAGCGCGGACGTGTCAGCTTCGGACTTCCCCTTCTTATCCTCTTGCACCATGAGCAAAGATGACTAACGCCAAGAGGAGACCCTCGGCTTTCTCAGACCGTCGCCAAGGCTCGTCTACCTCCCGCAGCTCGCAGCACCACATTTCTGACACAATTCTCGACCGTCCGGACTCCCACGACGTACAAAAAGCAAAAGCAAGCAGCGCTCTGTCCTCTGTGAGAATCGAACTCACGACCTTCGGATAGCCCGCATGTTTGACATGCGAATCATATTCAATTATGAGACCGACGTCATAACCGACTAGACCAAGAAGACGCTGAGTGACTGAAGCTAGCAATATATCCCTTATTAAGGTTTCAAAACGGCACTATGTTTGGTCACGAGCGATTTTGCTTCTGGAGGTACAGTGGGACGAGCCGGGCGGATGTTCAGTCCGCACGTCAGGGGCACGATGAATTTCGCGGTTCTTGAACGAGCGTACAGTAACTACGGCCTGTTTACAGGACTCTACGATAGCGCTTGGACAGTATTTTGAACGAATTTTGGTCTACTATCTATGTCCATCAAACAGATATTGTCCTCACGAATCGAATTCCCGAAGAAGTACGCAGCTTGCACCATACAAGGTGTTACTTGGTTCGATGCCTTGGAGCGAGGTTCATTGAGTTTCCGAACTTCTGCAATGCCTGGCACACATCCTGATAACCGAGTTTCTCGCCGGAGCCGATGGCACAGCCAACAATGGGACGTGTCCGGGTGTTGATAATTGAAAAGAAACAGCCTTTGTCGTAGCACGCGCCAGTACTGGACGAGAGTCTAGCGAAACACGGAGGCCTTCACAACTGTTGACCGAGCGTATAGCGTATGTCACCTTCCCTCCGAGACCCGTGACGACGCTTGGACAGTACTTTGAAGCATTGTTATGTCATTATCTACCTTCATCGGACAGCGCTTTCTCTCCACAAAGATAAGGTCCAATAGAGAACACCCCGAGGAAGACCGATGCCCTTGAGCGAGCATACTATTGCGTGGTGGCTTCACCAACATAGCACGTTTCCACAATCTTTCGGTGCTCAGAAGCACTCTTAGAACTAACACTATATATCCCCGAGCTGAACAGTGAGCTTGTACACCAATTTGAAGCTACCTAAGTAGAGTTTATATCTGCGCATAGACTGAGAACTCCGCATTGAGTGCCTTCTATGAACCGACAGGAGTCGACACGTCTCCATCAACGAGTGCCTTAGACCCCTAAACGAGCGATAAGTCTGTCACCAACCACGATCGGATTTTGGGTCTTTGAGAAACCCTTTGGATGATACATCGAGCCTTGTTGATGCTATTCTGACGCTCTTCATCAAGTATTCCCACTCAGTGGACGTTTCTGATTGCGCAGTGCCTCGAAGTATGTAGGCCAAGAATCTACTAAGTTCGATGTGGGAATGAACCTAGACTCTGGGCATCAGAACATACCTCACAATCCGATTTGAGTTTGCGTTCGCGCAGGCCGAATGGTATCAGGAACTGGTAATATCCCTAGGACGCGCAAGACCGACATCATGAATATTTCCTCAAAAAAAGGACCAGCTAACATCTAATGTGATTCTGCGACATTTACAGCTGTCACTAGGTCAATATAGACTCACTCGGGGTATTTGTTGTCCTTCGCGCTTTGGAGGACGCTGAACGGCCTCAGCATCACGTACCTTTGAAACGCTACAGAACCGGAGACACTGCGGAGAGATCCGCACAGCCGCAAAAGTTAGTCAGAAAGAGCCTATCACCGCGAGGCTAAACTGTTGCGTATAAAGAGTTCCAGGCTGGTTTACGATGGACTGGTGCTTCAATCATGAACGCTTAAAGCCTCGCACCTCTTACAGAGGCGTACGGTAAGACTGACTGGGTACCTATCGAAAATCCGCGGCGATGAAGTTTGAATGGTAATTCGAATCAATTTCTAGCTCTTATTCGCGGTCGTGATCAAGGGGGCTCGCACAAGAAGTTAAGACTGCACTGTAGTATGCATGCGCTCTGGCCTGTGAACCGCTCGCTTTGGAGAGGCGCATGAAGTGCAACTTGCGCTGTGATCCGCAATAATGTGTCAAAAAGCCGTCTAGCAGTTGCTCCTTATGCTTCTCGATCTCAGGATCCGGACCGCTCCAGTCACGTTGGAACACACGACTGTCGTCGATCTACCAGCACTGCGGTATGAAATCAGATTCTGAGAAGATTTGCGGAAAGCCTCCACTGCTTCTCCCGTCTGTCCAGCTCGAGAGAATCGAAAAGTACCAAGGTACGAAGGACCCTCACAAAAAGCTGGGCATCGTAAGTGACAATCTAGTTTAGCTCGACAACAACCCAGTTCCCAATCTGTGGTACGTAGTTTAGAGCCCCATTGCAAGATTGAAGCTTGACGTCAGTATGGTCAATCTTGTACATGCTCGAGTACAGCGTTACAGAAACATTCAAATTCTTCATGTTAGAATCGACTCGTGTACATCGAGAATGCCTCGTAATTAGGTGAGAACTTGGCACAAGGTAAATATCATCACCGCGGCTTGAGCGCATCATTTGTAGTGGTCCCCGTCTTGCGGACAGTTCTGATCAACTACTCCCAGCCAGGAACAGTCGGGCTTCTTACACGTCCTTTGCGAAAAACGACTTGAGCATACAAAACAAGCTGCGAGGCAGCGGAGGTCGGGATTCGGAGACTCTCGCCGACGGGACGGGAACTTCCCGTGCTAAATACCGGCCCGGATTTAAAACGTACCCTATTCTCGGGAAGTCGACCATTTCTACGCAGTGGGGGTAAGTCCTCAACCCATGGTTTCGTGAAAAGTCTCGACCTGACACTGTACTTTCTATCGCTTCGAGGGTACCCTAGAACTCCTCCGTTTGTGTCGAAGCCCACGAACACAAGCACAAAATAGCTGAGGGCTGCCACTTTTCTCACAGAACTCGAAGCTTCGCACTTGCCCGAGAGAGACTCAGCTCCCGCTAAACAGACTCAGCCTGTACTTATTTCTTTCCTATCGACTGGTTTTCTCCTGGGTTCCGCCCACGTTTTTTGTTCTATCGTGACATCGGATTATGCCATCGTCACTGCGTCGTTCCAGATGGCGTCCCTTATCTCCTAGCACATCACTTTCTTCACCAATTCCACCCGTCTACCGGTTTCATGAAACTATCTAGGCCGCCTGATGTGCGCTGCGAATGCCTGACACGGCTGACGCCCCTTCCTATGCGCTACTTGCTCGACCTTCGCCTGATGAATGCCTCTGGCACTAGTCGCTCGCAAGAATGATGGTAAGATGGGTCTAGAGGGGGTGTAGCTGGTATTCGGCAAGGGCTGTGAACTGGCAGCATTCACTTATAAGCGCAGCACAACACCGCTTCTAGCAACTTATCAATTTGAACATCGCCAGGTTTTTTCCTTCTTATAATCTCCGCTGGCGTTGCGGCATTACAATACTATCATTTTAACTGTCACTCGTTTTCATATCCAACATACCCTGTATACCAGCAACTTATCGTTCACCATGTTCGCCTTTTATCGATCCCTGCCCTTGGTGGGCTTGTTTGCTCTCTGTCACGCAGCTCCCGCTCTCTCGAACGAGCCCCGA